ACATGATCATAGTTTAAGGCAGCAATATTCTTCTCTATGATAACATTATTTTTAAAAATTACATGACTCCAACATTGCACGTAAAGCTATAATCTTTTTAGATCTCAAAACAGATTATGTTTTGTTTTATAGTTGATGATTATATATGAATGTGATTCAGGGCTAAATAAAAGGGCATGAAAAGTTCAAACTTCATCACAATTATTTATTATCAATGTAGATACTTATTGTTTTTCTGTTTTGAGAAAATATATTTAAAGATAAAATTTGAATTTTTTGAATTTGAATATTAAAATTAAAATGATAAAATTTATAAGACAAAAAACATTATTTATAATACATAAATTTAATGATAAAGTTCATTGAATTGTTGCGATGAAAGAGCAATATGATCTTAATTACTGTTTGACATTAAGTAAATTTAAGATCGAATTGATGGGTTTAATGTATTATTTCACTAAATTTAAAAATTATTATAATTTTTTTAAATGAAGATATCCCTTAATATGAGATTAACCTATAAGCAAGCTAATTACTGCCGAGGCATATAGGCGGCACGCAAGAGTGAGGACGGGATAATCGTAAAAGACAGTCAAGTACACGTGAGAAGAGGTGACAGCTCGAGACGTGGCGAAACACGATTGGACAGAGCGCTTCACCAGATCTATTAATCATGTGCAACATGCAATTTGAGTCACGTGGATGCTGCAAAAGAGGAGAATTGGTGGGGGCGCGGGGCCTTTGAGGTCCCATGGAATGAAGAATTTGACACGTGTCATGATGCGGTTAACACTATCTCAACTTTGATGAGGTTCCTTTCACCCACTTGAAAAAAGGGAACATTTCCCTCTTGGAGGGTGGTGCCCGTAAAAGATGGGGACATACCCTTTTGTTTGAGGAAAGAGGATTCTTCAAGGGCAATTTTGACATAAACGGGAGAGGGGGATAAATAAAGTGATAAATAAAATATTATTTCAAAATTTCATAATCTTCTATTGGAAAATGGTAGTTACAATGTTACGTTTAGATTTTAAATTAGCACTTTTGGAAATAATACTTAGGATTATACTCTTCGAAATTCATGACATTAGACGGTCCATACAAATAAAATTAATTACATTCCGACAAATGGAAGTATTGATTTTAGCTCAATATAGATTGGATCCAGTTTTGTTGTGAATTTCGAAATAAACTTTTTTTTTCTTTGTACCAAGTTTATATGCTATTAGGATGTATGTTTTAATCCATGTTAATGTTCATAATTTAAGTGCTTTGACCACTTTTGGAATTACCTTTGCAAGGAAAAAAATAGTATATGTTTAGTGAATATTATAATAATACTTCTCAAATCGAATGTAAATATAATTATTAAAATTTATATAAAAATTTAAATAAATTATTATTAATAATTTAAATTTTAAAATAGATCATATATTTTAGGTTGAAAAAGTTGTTGCATAGTGATGTTTAGATTCGAGTTGTTACTACTGATATCAAGTTGTGATGTGTATCATATCAAACATGAATGTAATTGTTACAATTTATATAATGATTAAAGTCAATTATTATTAACAACTTGAGTTTAAGTATTTTTGAGTCTAAATGACTCGAAAAACTACTGATACAGTTATACTTAAATTCGAATCGTTAATTATTTGCAAGAATATTCCAATTTATAATAATTATTATGTTAACCAATTTTTGTTTTTTGGGATGAATATAGTCCAACCACTTAGCTAAAAGTTGTTAGGATTTGAGTTTTCTTGCATGCTTTGGGAACTGATTCAAAACTTTATCATTTTACCAAAACCATACTTGTTCAAAAGTTTGTCATTTTACTAAATCCATACCACCTCCTGCTACTACTTCTCTCTCTAATATTGGACATAATTTTCTAATATTTTCCCATCACAATAAAATCTTTTAATAAATATAAAATAGTGTATTTTTAGAAATGATTTATAGTTTTATTTTTACTTAACTATGTCTGTATATAGGATTTTAGTAGAAATAAAAGAAAGAAAAGTTGTGTAATTAAAAGAGGAACAATGAAAAGAAAGGCAAAAAAAAAAAAAACAAAAACAAAAATATATACATTTAAATCCATGATTTCAACTTATTTTTTATTTATTGGACAGACAACAACACACTTTTATTATGTGTGCATTCAACTATATTAATAATTGCTTACATAATTAATGAATTTTAATATTTATGCACATGCATGTTTATGCAGACATGTGCATGCCTTACTAAGCCTATTATTGATAGATTGAATTGTGCTTTAAATATTTGGTTTCATTGATGATGTTTTGTTCACATTTGACAATGATGGGTTTCCAATTTCACTAATTATGGAAATTAATTAAGAAAAATAAAATCTAACAAAAGCCATATATATATATATATATAATCTATATATTTTTGGGGCACATGCAAACAATACTAAGTCATGCTTCTTAATCACTAGACTAGAATTAACTAAATTAAACTTGGAATTTGACACCAATGACAAGTAGTAGGATCTAAACAAATCCAAGCCAAAAAAAAAAAAAAAAGAATGTCAATTCTTAGACCAAGAATAAACAAAAAATTTAGCCAAGCTGTCATAGCCTATGATAGAATGTGGTGTTGCAATTATTTTCACAAGTATCACCACGTCTAGGATGTGTATGCCCTAAGCTGAATTGGGTATTATTATTTAGTTCGGGAAAACAATCTGTTCAAAAATGAAAAGATAAAAAATAATGAAATAAATAGAAAATAAGCATCAACTTCTAAGACAAAGCTTTTATATTTTTGATTGAATTGATTTTTTTTTAAAAAAATTTTTACCATCATTTCGGTGATAATTATATTAAAATTAAGGAATGTGATAAATAATTTGCATTGAAATAAAGAGATAAAAATAATGGTAAACAATACAATTTTGTAAAGTAAGGATTGACTAGAATGTTGTGCCATTGGGTCAGAAGGGTGGGGTGATTCATAAGGAAATTCAATGTTAGGTAATTAGGTCTCAAACTCATTATGCAAGAGAGTTGATGGACGCCATTCTACAAGAGTTTCAAGTCACAGTTTGGGATCAGGAAGAAAACATGGAAAAAGGGACTGTTTGTTAGGTGCTTTGCTTGCAATCGGAGTCCCTGTCGCTTTACAACACTACTTGTTTCACTGCTTAAGCAAGCCCCCCTCCACACCCCCCCCAAAGCTGCCAGTACACGAGACATGTCCCTGTTAGTTGGTGCAGCTGCTCTGTCTACACCCCCCCAAAAAAAGGGGAAAGCCATTCATGCCATTTCTCACTTGGCTACTTGGCTTTCTCTTCCCACAGATTCACATCCAATCCAACAAGAAACTGTCCAACTTGATTTTATGGCATTAAAAGCAGTTTGCAAATACGTTTTGATGAATCCAGGACCAGCCAGCAGTCCTTGTGTTAATAATGACTGTTCGTTTTTTTTTTCTTTAGCATTATGAGTTAAGATACTTCATCAAATGGTCCTGATCATGATAAGATCATTATTGCTCATTGCTTTAATAACATTGTACTTTTTCTCAAAGGAAGAAAATCAGAGTCCAGAGATTGTTTTTCCTTAGAAGAAATCAGAGGTTGAGTTTGTAACACCAAAAAGAAAGGACAGAAGAGAGGGTTCCTATGGCGACAAGCAAATCTATGTATAAAGTGGTAAAGTCATAGTTCCATCGTCATAAGTGAATAAAAAAAGATTAACATTAACATAAAGATTAAAGATGAGCATGTGCCCCAAAGAAAAAAAAAAAACAAAAGAAAAAGTAAAGATGACTTGTTATGCACCTATCCAATTTGCTAGAAAATTCATCAGCTTATGAAAAAGCTTCTAGTTACCAAGTAATTAACCCTTCATTTAATATATTCTTGTTAATTGAAAAGTATTACTAAATTTTATAAAGAAAAAGGAATTATTAAAAAAAAATGAACATGCTTTTATAGTTTTATTTTGAACTAAATTAATTATTATATGTCATTTTAAGTCATGTAATGTTGATGTAATATGTCGACATGTCAAAATAGATAACGATGTAACATATTGATATGACACAATGATAAGATTGTTTGATATTTTTACTTTTTATATCAACGTTAATAATTAATTAATTAACTATTATTTATAAAAACCTATTTGATTCAAATAAAATTATGATGACTTGATTGAAGGTAATAGAAGACTAAAAGATTTATTTGAATTTTTTTAATTAAAAATATTTACAATAAATAAAGACATGTGAAAATATAAGATCAAGTCACAAAAAACTTCTTAGTAAGATGGAATAATTTCAAGTTTTCCAAGTTGCTTTAAATATATTTCCCCTTTAATGCCTCCCACAAAAATTATCTATTTTTTCTTGAAATGAGTATAAGATAAAAAACTAAAGTAGGTATTAATCTAAATATATAATTCAAATCTATTTGTAGAAATACTTGCACTTCAGATGTAGGCAGTGTTTGGGGACAGGGTTGAAGTGGTACTATCATCAAAGAGGGTATGAATGCACTGTAGATAGATTTGGAAATGAAAATTGGACCATAATTGTCTCAACCAAACCCTTCATTTCACAAACTCTTAAAATTTTTGCTCCAACATCATACAATCAATAAAAAATCTCAGTTGCTGGTAATGGACCCCAAGAGTGTTCTAGTGGTTGAGAATAAGGGATGAATTGATGTATTATAAGCTGATTCATGGATTTGACCCTTGATGTTGTCAGACATGGGCTTCACATACTCAATGTACCATTACCAAGTGTATTCAAATTGTAGGAAACAATTGAAAAATGGTGATGTGTCTATGAATTGCCTCTGGCTTCCATTGTTTCCCACTTTCTTAGTTCTTGTTCTTCCTAATCTGCTACAAGCCCATGCAGTTTAATTTCCTTCCAGATATAATAAAGGAAGCCGAAAACTTTCTATCTAGATTCATTTTTCATTCAAAATTATCAGGTAGACCCATGGGAAGTCATTATGTAAGATGGTGTGGTTCCACATACCGAACCTCCATAAATGCCAACATTGGTGCCCATCTCAAGCAGCCATCTCCATCCACCCACCATGCTTTGTCTACATGACCCCATTCATCATGTGGTCTCTCTGCCATTTTGTTAACCAAGGAACCAGCTCCATCCGCTTCAGAGTGAAGTCCATCCACTCGATTTGGACATGGATCAAAGTTATGAACGTACCCCAATGACTGGCTCCTTTTTTCTTTGCAATGTAAATTTCGAAGCAATTGAGGAATGGAAGTATCAAGACATCATAATGGCTCTGAAAAGGATTTCATCTTCAGTCAGATTGGTGATAGCTTTCATATAAATTGTTCAGGGTTTCAGCTTTTGGCATGTGAAGCCATGTTAGCTGTAATAGGGACTAAGATGCCACATCTAACACATGCACATTAAAATCTTTTTCTTGAATTTACATGTTGAGTATGGACAGACCTAACTGGTAATTAAATGCCCTAGTAAATTAAAAGGTCTTACTGTCAATATAACATGCTGCTATATATGTAAGTCTAAAACAAGTTTTCAGGTTTCACTTGAAAAAAGGTAATCCCCATCCAAGCATGTAATTTTCTTTAGGAAAATAAGGGTGAATACATACATACATACATGCATAAATACATACATATAGTTGAAAGAGCGAAGATTCTTAGGATTCTTGTCTTAAAATAGCATAATACACTTTTCTCAATTTGCATCAGCTACTTCATTTACAAATAGTTCACCTCAGACTGGCATCTCATCATCCATGCTCTACCTTGGAATCACTTCAGCCCTGAAATCAACTCCAGAAGGTGGTAAAGGTGCAAATAACACCTCTTTAATGTTACTTATTATTCCTTTGTCATATGGATTTGAAGAGCCCTCGTAGCGGTACCGAAAATTCTCATAAGCCGTCTGCATCAAATACACAAGCATTAAAGGAAAGAAAAGAATCAGTTAACATCAATAATGACAACACCTGCAAGCAAGTAATCTGAACTAAAGTGGGATATATATGCATATGCATTCTTTATATGGCCCTTTAACTAGTGTAAATGATCTTCTCATCTTAAGAGTATTTCCCCCAAATAATAAATTTCTATAGATTAGATTAGACTTACCTGATTTGTTGCAATTAAATAGGAATGGAAAATAGAAAGGCCACCTAGGAACCAAATGGCAGCAAAGCTAAACACTGTCAGTGCCAATGTTTCAGGGCAGTTCCTTAGCATTCCAAACAACCCAGTACCAGTTTCCGACATTCCTTGGTGGATCCTCCAGCAAGAGAAAGCAAATATGTAGATAAAGAAGACTAGTGCTGTTATTAAAAATGTCCAATAGAAGCCATAGTTTCTCTGCATAAACAGCCATAAAAACTTAATCTCAGGCAAACACATGCTGCCCATGGGGCTATAAAGATATGTGTGTAATGTACTTGAAGCAGTTTGGTTGTTACATACCAGTCCAATACACTGACCAACCCATGGACAATGGTGATCATATTTTTCAACGCAATTGTCACATATGGCGCAATGGCAACTCCTTGGTGGCCTAAAAATCCTACAAATCCGACAATATTTTAGTTTCATTTGCACCCCATTAACAGTTACCTTCTTCCTCCTAGTCCCTTTACTGGTACCGATGTCTTCAAGAGATATTGACTGTTCACTTCTAGGAATGATTCCGGGGTCAATGGCACTAACCAGAATCAAGTTGACAAGAACCTGCAGTCAATTGCACTAACCAGGATCAAGTTGACAATAATCTGCAGTGCATCATTAATAATGTAACTGTTTTAAGTTTGAATTATGGACTGACCATCACAGTCAGAATCAAACATATACTGACAATTAGAATGGAATTAATCTTTGGTAAATCATATCCAATGTAAATGGTGAAAATCCAACTTGAAATAAGTATAGAAACAGCTGTCAGGAGCAACCCTTTTGGATCTGGGCCGCATACAAGTTTACCCTGGAAGAAAAACACCTGCATTTAAGCAAACAAGTTTTGATTACAAGCATGGAAAAGCAAGACTATTTTGATATAATAAAAGGAAAGGTACATTGTTCCCTGGCCAAACTTGGTAAGTTCGAGTTCCTTTTGCATTGTTTCCATAGCAACCATGTTGAAGGCATTGTTCTTCAACAACTCTTCTGATTTTACAGATATTCTCCATTAGAGAATATCCCCGGATTCCAAACATTCCTCCAAACTTCATTTCAACTCGGGATTTGGCTTTGGTTTTGATCTTTTCTTAACGTATATACAAATTCTTTACGATTTAGCAAATGCAAAAATGGCTAAAAATGGCTTAATAACCAACTTTTGAAAAAGAGCGGTTACCTTAACTGGTTGGGCTATCCTCTCAGCCCAAATATCTGGGCTCACAACGCACCGTTTAAAGTGCCACGTAAGCCGACAGTCTTCCGCGCTTACGTTAGCAGGAGGCGCCGTCTCGCCGCAATGTTAAGCCTCTGCTCGTTCTGGGGCGTTCCCTTTCTTTCTTCGGAGCTGGAATGCTAAAATAGAAGAAAAGGATAGTTGCAGAAATGGGGAATAAGAAAGAGAAGATGAAAATCTTACTGACAGTCGCATCGGTTGCTGCAATCTCAATCTTCTTCACCGCTCAACTATACAGAAGACGCCGAAGACAGAGAAGACCTCAAAGTTGCTGCTATTTACACTCCGAATCAAAGCCGCAGCAGAGTTTCAAGCGCGTCTTAGCCGATAACTCCTATTCTCCTTTCAACCATTTCAACCGCCAAACGGATTCCGTTAATGGTAAATAACCTCCCCACTTTTCAAAAAAAAAAAATTCAAGTTTTTTTTTTAATGAAAAATGATTAATTTGTACTGCAGAGAAATCTTCGAGTTTGACTCATCCGTATGAAGCGGAGATAACGGCATTGATGGAGAATCCTCAGCTTCTGTTTCTTAAGATTGCGATGGACGATTTCGATACGAAAATGGACATGCAAATGAATGACTCCTATGTTTGGGTTGAAACCGAGTCTCAACTGAGTCAACTCGCTCAGGTGTTGAGCAAAGAGCAGGCTTTCGCTGTCGATACCGAGCAGCACAGCCTACGGTCGTTTTTAGGTTTCACTGCTCTAGTACAGGTCCAAAACTATTGACAAGAGTATCGTTTTTACTTTTTGCCCTTGATTTTTTAGTTCTTAAACTTTCAATTTTTCATTTTATGGTATGAAGAGCAGATTTCTACTGAGAAGGAAGATTATTTGGTGGATACAATTGCTTTACATGATGCAATGGGCATTCTTCGTCCCGTTTTTGCTGATCCTAATATATGCAAGGTATAATTTTTTAGTATGAATTTAGCTTTCAAATAATAATTTAATAGATTAAAGCTTAAACATATAACCTTTTCAATAATCAAAATGTATGCGTTTACTTTATATATGGAACAATTATGTTAGAAACAGTTTTACTACATTTTGATTATTTGGTCATATAATATCAAATAGTATATGTTTACTTTTGTTTTTTATTATCTAAATTTTTCTTTATAGCAAATTTTGAAGAAGTAAAATCAAATTACAAAAAAAAGATTGCAAAAGCAACATCCAAATGGAGCCCTGTATATTTCTTTGTTCTATATCATTGCCTCTAGTTTGTTGTAGAAGATGAGAAGAATTGATCAAACCTTGCTTTTGTTTTCCTTAATGCAACGTTTATACCATTTTGTTTTCTGAAAAGTAAAATTATGGTGTACTCTTGGTCTTATAAATTACTCATTCGTGACATTTGACTCAACTATATAGTGCATTGGTGCTAAGGAAGTAGTAAGATTAAAGTATCCTGATCATGTCTTGGACCGCTTGGGATGTTATGCAGGTGTTCCATGGGGCTGATGGTGACATTGTCTGGTTACAAAGAGACTTCCACATATATGTTGTTAATCTATTTGATACTGCAAAGGTGAGCTTCAAGCATTTGTTTCTCACGAACAAGGAATAATTTTCCCAGGTTAAATGTTTGCCATTAGAAATGCATGCATCGGAGAGATGATTCCTTTCAACAACTGACCGTCATACTCAATTCACATTTCTCTGACTTTGACACAGGCATGTGACGTTTTGTCGAAACCCCATAGATCTTTGGCCTACTTACTTGAAACTTATCGTGGTGTGGCCAAAAATAAAATATTACAGGTATGTGCTTGACACTTGCGTAGTGCTTTTCAAAGCTTATTGTGCATCTTTTTGTTCTATAACTAGAACATATCTAAAACTATTTATTCTGTTGCTGCATTCCATTTCAGCGTGAAGACTGGAGACAACGTCCGCTATCAGAGGAAATGCTGCAGTATGCTCGTACCGACGCACATTATCTGCTATATATTGCAAATTGTTTAATTTCTGAGCTCAAACAACAGGACCATGGTATGTTTTCTACCCAAATCTTATTTAGATATTGGCTCTTTTATTTTGTTTGTCTCTGAGTGGATTGGAAAAGGAAAGATAAAAGATTATAAGAGAATTTCTACATAAGGTGGTAGCGGTACAGATTTAAACAAGAAGTAGACGATATGCGCAAAATCCAAAGAATTGTTATTCTATATTGTTAATCAAGACATTCAAAATCAATGACTCCTGGTCTTTTTCTTTCCTCCGTGTGTGTTTGGGGGTGCAGGGATGGGTTTTAGAGGGGATGTCACTTGAAGGCCTAGGTCTGAGGCAAATATTGTTCTACTCCATTGGTTTTGGGCATGAAAGAAAGAGGTTATTTTTGGAAGAGTGCATACAATATGTCACATAGCATCTAAGCTTAATTTTAATTTTTAATATTCAACTACTAGAAAGACCTATGTCTACTACTTCTATTAGCATCCAAATGCTAAAGATATTAATGTATCAGAATATTCATCTTGCCCCGATGACAAGTTCAATTTTGTTCTCGAGGCTAGTCGACGATCAAACATGATCTGTTTGCAACTCTATGCTAAGGAGATTGAAGATTTTCCTGGGGAGTCTGCTGCATTATCAATACTTTCTCGCCAATTGAACAGCCAAGGGGGTGCGCCTTCTACATCCGGTGAAACCAAGGTTTGTCCTCTCCATAGTACTGACTACAACACTGAAATCCTTAATAGATGCTTGTTCTTTAATTATTTAGTACTTAATTTTACATCATATTCTAATGCTTTGTTCTTAATCCAGTTTCAGGGTCTTGTTAGGAGATTGTGTGCATGGAGAGATTTAATGGTAAGTGTTAATCTCCGTGTGAACTACAAATTTAAGAATTGCTTCATTAGTCAACAAGACTGAAGGGAGTAATCACCTTATTGATAAGGGAAACTCGGCAAAAATTTTCTGGTCTCCTTCAAGCTTTGTTAAAAACTTTTAAGTGATCCTTAAATTTGGTAATAGTTATCTACTGGAGCCATTTTTATTGTTGGTGTGTGCAAGGAAAAACGTGTTTCCATTATTTGTTAATCTTGATCTGCTATGAATATCTCATTTGTGAGTTGGTATGATCAGAAAGAATTTTGTCTTCTTAAATCATAACATGCCAGAAACGACAAGAGATTTTCTTTTGAACTTTGATCACCAAACTCTGACACCATGCTTCTGCTAATGGCAAAAGAAAGTAAAACCGATGCACTATAAGTGAGGACAACTAATGAAAGTCTGAGACTGTTCTAATGTAATTTTTGTTGATCTGGATGCTGCATTCAATGAAACCAGCCATTCAATTTACTTATTATGGTCTTGTTTACTTTGTTGTTAGTTTGGTTTCTCTTGAAAACAGTAGTTATTGATGCTTTACATGTGGCACTACTTCTTTTCAGGCTCGTGTGCATGATGAGAGCACAAGATACATATTATCCGATTATGCTATTGTTGCTCTCTCTGCAAGAGTTCCAAAAACTCAAGCAGATATTTACGACACCATAATTCAAGCTGATTTGAATATAGATTCTTCCAATCTCAGCTCTTCACTCCCATCTCCTTCCCCCCTTGTTTGCAGTCATTGGATTGATGTCCATCAACTAATCCAGGACAATTTAAGCAATCTTGATAAAATTTTTCCAGTGATTCTTCAAATTTGCCTGGGTCCAAAGGGGAGCTGTCCATTGTCTTTATTTAACTATGCTTTATTGATGAACTGTAGCCTGAAACTAGAAACTAGATTAGTTTCCAAACAAAATGGGTACAAAAACCCAAAACAAGTTGCTAAGAAAGCTTCACGTGAGCTGTTCATTCAAAAATTTTCCTGCAAATCTCCAGTTTATCATAATTGTAGGATCTACTCAAACGATGGGCGGTTGTTGTGTTATTGCGATCGCAGGAAGCTGGAATGGTTGGTGCATTTTTTTCTGTGTCTTATATCCACATCAACCACTATATTTATATTCAATTTGACAGGATAATGTTGTTATCTTACAGGTACCTTCGTCGAGATCTGGCAAAACTTGTTGAGGATGACCCTCCTGCAATAATGCTTCTTTTCGAACCAAAAGGTCGCCCAGAGGATGAAGATAATGATTTTTATATCCAGAGTAAGAAAAATATATGTGTCAGCTGTGGTGAAGGCAATCACTACTTACGCTACCGAATAATTCCCTCATGCTATCGAATTCACTTTCCTGAGCACTTGAAAAGCCATCGCTCGCATGACATAGTCCTGCTCTGTGTTGACTGTCATGAAGTTGCTCATGCTGCTGCTGAGAAGCACAAGAAACAAATTGCTAGAGAATTTGGAATTCCACTTTATGTCCGCAAGGTAGTTGATTCAAACCAAGCACCGATTATATCTGGGTCATCTGATTCAATGAACTCCGAAGATTCAGGTGTCTCTCCACTACAATTGCGAACGGCAGCTAAGGCTCTTTTGCGTCATGGACCTGAAATGCCCCCCTGCCGCCGTGAAGAACTGACCCAGGTCTGAAAGTTATCTTTAGATATTTGCTTTCCTTGTAAAATTTAGACAGCTTTAATCATGTTTCAATGGATCACAATGAGGCCTTTTGGATAAGAGAAGAATATGCTGTTCTATGTCGGGCCATTGAAGGGGCCTAGGAATCCCAAAAGCAAAAAGGTTCAATGCTGTTAAAGAATGCTTGATGAGTGCATCATGATAACTTTAGAAGTGGAATGTATAGTGAAACTTGTTCAAACTATTTGAATCTTGCTAGCATGACTAGACATCAAACATAAGTACTAAGACTGGTAAAAATATCCATTCTTGACAAAAAATTGACATTGGAGTTTTGGAGCTTTTTATGTATGATAGTATCATCAGATGCTTCACGTTTGATACAAAATTTATATTTGATGTAACAACATATTA